TTCCTTTGCCCTTTCAAATACCAATCCACCAGCAGTTTGGACCACTCTTCCCCCCTCCAAAAAAGTAAACTCATCCTACCACACATAGCTTGCGCTCCGCTCCATGACGCCTAGTCCTTCCCCTTCGTCGGGGTACTGGAGGTTGAGAGGAAACCCTGCAGGACAGATCCTACCGGGGGGGCCCGTCCAGGTGCGCCGTCACGAGCAAGCCTTTGGGCAAGCGGCCCAGCGCTTCACCGAGGTGGCCAACCAGTCGGAGGACCCATGGGCCAGGAGGGGCGGCCATGGGCCAGGGTTGATGGGAAGGATTGAAGATGAAAGACCATACAGAGTGGGAGAAGGATGAGAAGGATCTCGTGTCTTTTTTCATGCTCTTTTAACATCTAGTTACCTAGTTTTTCTTCATCAGTATACCGATATGGTATTGGCGCTTTTCAACTACTACAGAACCATGGTTATACGGCTGCCGTCGCCGTCGTGGGCACCCGTCGACGCAACGGGAACGTTGCACCAACTCCGGGAATAGCGGTGGGGCCAGGGCGGCCAGGTGACGGATGGACGCCTGGACCGGTTTTTGCATCCAATTCCAAGCATTTTTTTTGGAGACTCTGTCAGTATGGCAGTGTGAGCAGTGTGGCTCGTCCGCTTGAGTGCTGAGGCTGGTAGCTTGGAGCCAGCCTCAGTGTTTGCTTTGGCAAGTCGAAGTTCGTTGCATCCCGAGCTTCCTATATAACCGTTTGGAGCACTGAGGACAAGTCTTCTTGTGCCGTCCTGCCAGCACAGTTTTGGATCACGTTGGTTCATGGAAAAGAAAGCTGACCGGAGTTCCACCGAAGGTTTGCTAGCAATGAATCCACTTCATCATACGCGAAAGACTTGAGAGGAGCAGTTTCTAGCAGTTCTGCGGGTGGACATGATAGGTTTGTTTTGTTCCCAAACGCACTTTTTACATCTTGATGTGGCTGAGTGCCACGAAAACACGCATCTCAGCATCTCGGTGTGGTTCATCATGATGAACTGATGAACAAACATGTGCAAAAATCCCTGAATGGCACGGAGTCTGGTTGGTTCTTCTGCTTCTGGTCCGTATGCCAGGAAGCTGCGCTTGTTGGAAGCCCAGCGTGCCCACCTCCGTGCTGCCGTGGAGATCCGCCAGACCTTGCCAGCCCTCGAGCGGGAGCGCGGGGAGCGTCCGCCTCCACCGTACGTCGCTGGCGGTTCCCTGAGATCGAGAGGTTCACCGGTCGCATGGGTCACTGGAGCGACAGATGAGACGCCATCGATTCTGAACTCACTGTGCCATACTATGCCGAAATGATATCTAACTTGGTAACTAGGTTGAAAACACACAGGGTCTGAAGGGGTTGAAGTGGAAGAACAGCTGCAGTCTTGACTTAGACCTGACCTTTGAGTGACAGTCCTCCATCAGCTTTGAAGCTGGAGTTGGTTGACGACAGACGGGGTTCCTGGGAAGCAAGGATGCCAATGTTGCCACTTAAAAGTGAGACAGTGGTCGGACCAGAACTCCTTAGGTGAATTGGGCGAACCGTCATTCACTCACCCCCTCCCCGTCGACCGATGGATGAGCGCCGATGGAGGAGTACCTGCATGCTGAGGATGAGCTGGACACGGCCGGGAACCTTCGGTCCGCAGACTTGCCCTCGGCCCGCCGACGTGCCGACTTCGCCGTAACTTTTTTCTCCGCTAGGCGCAGACCGAACTTCGAAAGCAGAAGCGGCGCTTGCAGGTGTCTTGGAGATGTAACGTGGTGGTTCTGGCAGGCTCCTGGTGATGTTGATTCCCCGAACAGCCAATGAGTCCAATCCCTTTGACCGTCTTTCTCTCCAGGCGTCCAGCTCTCGGCGTCGGCCGGCCAGCAGCCCGGATGCCACCACGGCAGGATATGTCTTGGAGCATCAGTGCGCCCGGAGGCTCAGTGCGAACGATGCCTAGGGGATGTGACTGGAGGAATGTGAATGGCACCGTACGCCGTACGGCGTACAGCGTACGGCGTAAAGGAAGACATTCGCTGGAGTAGCAAGTGAACGTGGTCCGAAGTGAGGATTCAAGTTGAGAAGCGCTGAGCCCACTCCCAATTTGTCATGAAACGCAACTAGAATCCTTCCTTCCAGGAGTTCAGATTTCCCTCAAGATCTAGGAACCAAACGAATAATTAGTGCGATAGTTCTTTAAGGAAGCTCCCCCCCGCCCTCAAACCGCGGGGGAGCTTCCTTGAAGAAGCGTGAGCTCTCCTGCGTCCGGTCGGTAGTAGCTACTCAAGCTACTAGCTACTAGCTAAGCTAACACCTTTTCTCTTCTACCGGCCTAAACCCCCTCCCGAGCTAAATAGATACAATGTTACAACTGTTGTCTCCCCAAATATTCTTATGCTCAAGCCAAAGTCGCTGCAGGAACTCCGCGTAGCACATGCGCAGAAGCGGGTGGCCTGCTCGGAGTATTCAAGTTGCTGGCAAATTTGTGTGTAGACAGAAAGATACAGAGGATTTGGGGAAGGCTCCCTTGGTCAAAGGGTTTGTTTCTGATCATTTTTCCTTTCTCCTATAGCTTAAACTTGTTAAAACTTGCAGGCGGATGAAGTCAGTGTTGGTCATGACTAGCGGTACGCTTGGCGTGCCGGCACCAGTGACCAGCCTTTGTGGCTGCGTCGAAAGGCGGCATCACTAGGCATGCAGATTGCGCCCAAACTCGGCCTTCTGAACTGGTGCTGTGAATGGTGGCAAGAGTTGCTGTACTTACTCAGATCCATGGATTCTTAGTCACGAACTGTCCCATGTATTCAACTCAGGTAGATGACCTGCAAGAGCAACTCCGTGAGGCAGAGAAGAGGCCGCCGGGTTTCACCAGGCGAAGAGAAAACGTGGCACCGTGGTGGTTTGATCCTTGTCAGTGGCTGTTTTCCGGTTTTCACCAGGGGTTCTATGATGCATTCTCCATAAGACGCTCCCGAACAAAGTGCTGAACTTTGTCTGACAACCATTTGGGGAAACCTTTCACAAGGTTCTGCCAGAGGGTAAGTTTCCAAAGTCAGCATTCAGCTCAGCTTGGTGCAGATCGAAGCCACCTGGCAGGCTGCAAGAAGCGGAGACCAGCCTTCCCATGGAGTTGGGACCGCACGAGGAGGATGCCAATTGTTTCGAAGAGTTGTGTAGTCGTTGGGATACTTGCAGAGAAAAAACCTCTTGGAAGAAAGGCAGACGAACATCATCTTCGCATCCCTTGTTCGTTTGTCAACCGGAAAGTTGTGTAGTCGTTGGTATTTATCACCTTGAGAGTAGTGTGGCCAGGGTTTGAAAGTGTTCTATATTTCATTTCTATCATTTTGATGAGTCTTTGAAGTGGGCATCAACTTCAATGACTTCCATGTCTGTTGGAGAACGAGAGAGATTCAACAAGTACGTTGGAGCCACTCCAGAGCCCGTTCTGCCTTCTGCATCGGGCAGGAGAGCGGCGGAACCAGCAGCTCAGGTGTACAGCCAGATGCTGTGCCAGTGCTGGGGGTCTTAGAAGAGGGCGTAGACTTGGACAAGAGGAAGACGACTAGGACAGCTCAAGTTGAGTTTACTGTCATTTCATGGGTTTCCCTCTTTTGATCATCACAGAAGGCAAGCTTCGGCAGTGGCGTGTGTCTCAGGGATCCTCATCTCACCAACGAAGAGCGCTTGGCACTGAAGCTTGCCACGCCTTTGCCTTAGCATAGGTCGCAAGGAGACCATTGATACTCTTGGGAGTGTGCCTAGAGGCTGCCAGTTGTGGTCTTAGGAGGCACTGCAACCACAAAAAAAATATACATACACACACACACACACACTTTTTTGGGGGTTTCACTTTCACCGTGCATCTGACCGTGTGAGGTTGCAACAGTTCCACGAGGAGATGGTGGCATTGGAGCGGGGCCTTAACATATCGACGCTTCTGAGTCAGTCGCAGCTCTGGATGAATTGAACTGACTTGTTTTTATTGTTTAACAAACCACTTGTACTTTTTTGCGTGTTCTTGCAGGGCCTCAGGTTTTGCATGATGAACAATTGCAGATTTCAGGTGGTTGAACCCGGGACCCCCACGTCTGCCGTCTCCCAAGGCGTCTGAGTCCCAGGCAGAGCATGATAAGATGCTGCGGAAGGCGGCTGAGAGGGCGAGTTTGAAGAGGATATATAGATCATGGCACACTCCAGTGTGAAACGCCCAAGCAGCAAATACCAAGTGCAGCGCATGGTGTGAATAGTGCGTCCACTGTTGACAGTGGCCGACAGTGGCCCACTGATCAAACTTGACTCCACAGTGTCCCCTGGGAATGTGAAGACCATGTGCGGCAGGTGGAGCAGAGAAAGGTTCAAGCGGCCTTGAAGCAAGCCGTGGAGCCTGACTTCATGTGCCTCGGAAAACGTTGATACTGGAATTCGATGTTTTTAGCACGTGTACAAGAAGCCACCAGACTGTGCTGATACATGATAGCTGACAAGTCTTTTGTTTCGACTTTCTTCGTCTCATGTAGGTGCCCCATCCTGCATGAGAGAATGAAAGTGCCAGCCAGAGCCCCAGACGGGAGTGGATGGAATGGACCGGGGCCAAGGGGAGACAGGCTTGGCACCACTTGGCACCACGTCTCGCGAGACGGACGTGCCGTCCACGACGACGTGCACCGGCCATGCGACATGCGAATTGGCCATGGGATCCTGGCGCTTTTGCGCTGGCGCTGAGACTTGGCTTCAGATTTGGACTGGGTTGCCGGGAATGTGTTGAAGCAACTCAAAACATTTGATTTCGTGATAAGCATGGAGATTTGTTCACGGCTTGACGGCTTGCTTGTTGATTTTGTTGGAAGGATGAGCTCCAAACCTGAAACTTGGAGTATCCCAGGATAAGAGGGTAGAACTCCATCCGCAAATGCCCATGCGTGTTGATGTTTACGCTGCCATTTGAGCTCGATTTAGTGGCATGAAGGGGCTACGCCAGCCCGCGGAGCATGGCTTGTGATCAGGATGGGGCGAGCCAGGCAGAACTATGGTGACGATGACGAGGGCATCCTCGCTGCGATTGCAAACAAAGTACTAGGTGGGGTGAGATCAAGAAGTTGCTGTAGATGGTGATTTTGAGATTTCCGACCTGAACAGAGTGTTGCTTCTCCTTTGGAAGCATTTGTACTTTCTCCTGATAACTACGAAGAAGAGAAATCATCCGGGGATTTGTATAAGCCGAAACGATCTGCTTACATAGACAATGACCTGTCCTTGGGCCCCACATGCCACGCCACATGTCCTTCATAACCCTGAGGCCCTGTGCGGGGATGTTTGGGAATGCTGCATTCTTCGAGACCTCCAGAACCAGCGGTTGAGGTGGTCGAGCTGCTGCAAGATATGAAGATCACACCTCGTTTGGTGATACAGTTCCATAAGATCTTCAAAAGGCTGGAGGAATCAACAATGCTTCTCAATTTCAAGAGTAAGTTGAAGTAGGGGATGGGGGGTTCATGTTTTCATAGTGTACTAGTCCCTTCAGACGTTTGCCGAACATGGAAGACATCCAAAAAGAAGCGAAGCTGGAGCTTTCCATCATGCTGTGCGGATCTTCACATCTTCCAAGGGACCATATGGTGACCACATCAAACAAAGGAGGCGGTGAATCATCGCTTTGGGAGTATCCCCCAGAACAACTGGGTGGATTCAAATAACTCAGGGACCACTTGAAGATGGTCCACGAAAAAAGCACTTTGCTACTAAGATTGAACCATCTCAAGTGATTCTCCGACTCGTTGCGGCCAGGCTGAAGCAGACCGATGCGATTACGCTGCGGGTGGGGCCCAACGAGGTGAGCACGGCCAGCATGACGCGGCTGGTGAAGAATCACCGGAAGTGGGTGGCGAAGATTCTCATTCTGCTCTTGGTGCCTGGGATGTGCTGATGTTTCTTTTGTTCTTTATTCCAGTCAAATTCTCATTCTTCTGATTCTCGTTCTTCTCTTTCGTTCTTTTTTTTGGTTTCTTTTGTTCTTTATTCTTGACAATTCCATCAAATAAAGAACACAAATAACCTCATCACCTGGTCATGCAGCTGCCTTTCTTCAGATGGCAAAATTCCGGATCTTGCCTGGGTAGAAATAGGAGTCTAAGGCCACACAGGACCAGTTGCCACAAAATGACCAGCTTAAGTTGAAGGACTCGCCTGAGCAATGCTCAGGCGTGTAGCCGGAGTGATTTCCTGCTTTTGGGGGTCGACACTGATCCCAGTAGAGGAGATGGGGATCGGTGTTTTCTCGGTGTCGGTGATGGGTACGGTATGACAGATGTGCCCACTGGAGTGGTCCTTGCCCTTGGTACCACTTCTTTATTTGGCAGAAGAGTTGCCTTCTAAGACCTGCCAGGCTGGGGACCTCTTTTGATGTTCCTTTCGTCCTGTTATACATGTTATGCAAGGTCGGGTTTATAAGGCCCCGTATGTCAGATTGCAACAGTGATCCTTGCAGTTGCAAGAATATAGTGACCTGAACCACCTAAGGACTTGGCCGGCTTCAAAGATACAGTGACCTGGGATGGCTTCCTTTATGTGACTTGGCCTGTCTCGTGAGACTCTGGACTTGACATTGTCTAAAATGTCTAACATGTCTCTAATGGACGAGCGAGAGAGAGAGAGAGAGCAACACCCTTTGTCTTGGTGTCGCATTCTATGATATCAAAATCCGAGTCAACAACAGGGCCCCTTCGTCTGGAGCAGATTTTCTGAAACATCCATAGCCCAAGACAGGGACTGGCCCCAACATCTCCATGTCCAACTCGCCCAACATCTTCTCCATGTCGCGTGGTCGACGACATCTGCGTTGTCTCTCGAGGTGACGATGCAGTTTTGCTCCCTTTCCAAGTTGGAGCTCTGCCAGGTGATGTTCTACATCGTGAGCAAAGAAATGAGAAGTTGGACGGTGCACTACGTCACCAGTAGTCAACTTCAAGAGCTCCTCGTCAACTGAAAAATGATTGAGATGTTTGGGGGACCTGCTGTTGAGAGATGTTTCAAGCATTCTTCCGACCGTCGTTTTGGGATCCCTGAAAGCATGACACAGCTTTAGGCAACTATGAAACCTTGTAAAGGAGCACCCCATCTGCAGAAAGAATCCCAGGCTGTGGAAGAACCACTTGAGTGACAGCTAAGGTTCTACGATGACTATTACACCTGCCCTGTGGCAGCCTTCAATACCAACTCCATCGGCTTTGCCAAGCTTCCTTTGGCCAAGTACCGCATGCAGGAGAGGTGTGTGGCTAGGAAGATTTCAGGCTTTATTTAGGTCCTTTGTTGGCTTGACTACTGCGGTTGATCACACTAGTCAGTAGGTTTCTTCAACTTTTAGCTATCATGGCTGATTTGAGCGATTTCCTCCATGCCTAACTTGGAAAGAGGCCCAGCTCGACCATTGGACAATTGAGCGAAAGCTTCTTGAAGCGTAATAAATGGACGCCCACAAAGGTCTAGGTGGACACCTTTGAGTGTGTAAGTTGATTGTCATGTGAGGCCATTTGGGCTTCAAGTTCGACAGGAGGCTACATGTCAAGTACCTTGAATGGTTGCTGTTCGTCACCCTTTCAGCTGGCTGGTTGGAAGGTGTTTTTTCTGACCATTTTCGAAGAGTGGGAGCAAGGGAGGTGTGCCAGTGGACCAGTAACCCCCATTGCTTAATAAATCAGCGAAGCCGGCTCTAGAAAATCTAAACTCGAAATTCATTGTGGCAAACAAACTTGGCGAAGGTCATTTTTTTGGTAAAGGCGCTCCATTTCTTAAAACAGGCACCACACAAAGGCCAGGACGCCAAGCGCTGTGAGAGTGAGCATTGCGTGGACCCCGCTAGCATCACCTACCCGCTAAACGCGCCATTTTAACGAAGGGGGACGTTGTACATGCGCCGCTTGCAAATAAAGAGTATGCGCGGACGAAGAAACGCTAAAACAGCAGTCGATGGTTTTCCTTGAAACTGTTATATATGGCTCTTGTTTTTCCGGCATGTGCGTAGCAAAATTTTTTCAGCATGTGGTTAAGCTCGTAGCAAAACCCACGAGGACAAAACTCAGAGCTTCGGTGTGTCCGTGTTTTTCCGACGGACGAAGTCGCTTCCGCGTAGGACTTCATCGAGCTTTGCTACCGCTTTAGTCAGTTGATCAATCCCTGCATGCACCTTCAGAGGTGCGGTTGGCTCGGCGTTTTGGTGTTTCACGCGCGACTCAGCGGTTGGAATAGCAACCCAAAAACATGTCAACGTCTTTGAAGAAGCCGTGGCCTGGTATAAGACCCCCCCAACGCCACCACTGATGCTCGCAGGTCACTGCAGCAGTCACTGGGTTCGTTGCGGTATTGGTGCAACTTCGATCGGGTCAAGGCTCGGGTTCTGAAAATAATCGACCGAAACACGATGAAAAAAAGAACACAACGAAAGACAAAGCCGTGTGAGTATTCGTGCCTTAGAATTTCTGTGACCAAGCTGGATTTGGAGCTCTCCGAAGATGTCACGTGAATTAGAACCGAAACTGGCTTTGTGAAGAAACTACTTTGAGCCATCGGCCAATGCTCTGATGCTTTTGTATCAGGAGCACCCTTGCGATCCATTGTTCTAGTTCTCGACCATTCGAGGTCTACAACCGAAAGATTAACATCGACTTTTTTCGATACCAGAAAGTCACTACGATCCTTGAGCTCATGCAACGGCAAGCTGGAGTTGCCTTGGGGCCGATTCAACAACATCGTCTGGCAATGAGTGAGCACTTTCTGCATTCCATTGACAAATCCAGCCCTGGATTTAAGGCCAGCAGGGGGTTACATTTTGCCAATTCTTTTCAACTGCGAATGAACCAGAACCTGTTTGTTCTGAGACATCAAGGGTGTCTCAAAACAATAACAAGCCAGGCTAGGCCTGTGCAAAGCCCCGGCTGCAGAACCTTATTGGCGGAATTCCAAAAGCGACAACCACCTCTCGTCAAGTGATCAACATTAGGGTTGCATGCCGTATCCCTGACGTGACTTTCGTCTATTATATTCTTTCCAGGATGACCTCGAGAAATTCAAGGCCACTGTGTTGCGAGCTTTGGAAGTCTGCCGCCCCGTGCGCTGCGGGGTTTTGCCGATCCCAACCCTTGGTGTGAAACCGCCCACCAAGACCAAACTGCAACGTGCTACAGCTGCAAGACGCCAGAAAACATTTTGATGGTTGGTCAAATTCTAGTTCAATTCTAGACAAAATGGGATTCTTCTTTGAAACAGCAGCACATGCAGAAGTTGCCCCTTGCCCCCTTTTGATTGAGTGAAACTGCCTGAACAAGGGCAGACTTCCATACGCCAAGAATTGCTTTCCATCTCACTGCTGCAATTTCCTCACACACACACACTTTTTGACTAACCCATCCCCAGTCTGCCGCTGTAGCCGTTTTTCTGGTTTTCCTGCGATGAGGGTCAAGCAGCTCGCCCGAGCTGCACTCAGGTGAAGTGAAGCTGCCGAAGTGGATGACCGAGCAGCTGGAGCAGAACTTCGCACCGGGACTGTACGGCGGGCACTCCTTGGGCCACGCGCTGCAGCTGGAGTGGGCGAAGCGCGAGAAGGTGCCGCCCTCCCTGGACCGCGGCCCTGACATGCCCAAATCCGTGGAGGAGGAGTGATCCGGGAGGAAAAGTGTTGGTGGAAGCTGGTACTGGTAAAGAGTACCAAGTGTGTGGGCTACTAGCCTTGGTTCTTAAGAATCAGTCTCCAGCCTGAATGACTGCCCTGCCCATCATCATATCATCTCAAATCTCGCCTTCTTCGTGTGCAGCTAACTTGGTGAAGAAAACGCTGAAACGAAGCAACCTTTGCCTGTCAACCTTTGCACCCCCCCAGTCCGGTGGGCTCTGGTCCCTGGTCCAGGCCGAGCGCTTGATCCGGTCCACGTTCGGCGCCACGGCGGCTTGGAAGGCGACCACGGTGCGGCAGATCGCCGCGGAGCTGTTCCTCCACGCGGCCAAGCCGCCCTCGGAGGACAATCGAAACCTGACCCAGGGTGGTTATTTTTTTGGTGTCTGTTTTTCATGGGAGGTTTGAGCATGGGGTGCTTGTCCGGATCTTTCAAGGAGCTTTTGGCTGCTCATGGGGAGAACTTTGATGGCTCTTTTTTAGTTCTTGTTTGGACTCAGTTCGTGTTTTCGAACGTTTTCGACTGGATGTCGACGGATGAACCGACCGGCACATCCAAGGAATGAAGGCTGTGATCCGCAGTCAAGAGATGGAGTTCATCCGCATGAGCCGTGATGATCATGAACCTCCAAACCTGGTGACCACCATGTTCCGACTCTTTCAGGAGGAGCTCATCCACCGAACCGAGGAGCCAGATCCCACAGCCAACCTGAACATTCAAGTAGTCCGTAGTTAGGTGGGTATGGCCAGATGATCAGATGGTAATGGTGAATGGTGTTTTCCTCTGCCACCAAGTCCAGAAGTTGAGCTTTGGAGACTTTGGAGTTTTTCTGGCCACACTCAAATGGTCCATCACTGATGGTTCTGTTTGCATGATTCCAGTCCGGCTCAAAGACATTCAGCTTGGTAGAGAATTCAGATGCTGTGTCCATAAGAGATGGACCCAAAGCAGCCAACGACCTTGGCAAGTCAGCCAACAGATGGCTCAAGGGCGACCTGAAAACGAGCCAAGCCGGGACCACCATTTGTCAAGTGGGGGGGGAATACACCACCTGTGCAATCGCCAGCGTGTGAAGTTCATCCCTTGTTTTGGACTCCCAGACGCCAGCGCCAAGGAACGCCACCGGTGTGCAGCTTCCGTTTCCAGCTCTCAGGCGGTCGCCTTGCCCGCGTCATAGTTCGGAGGCCGTGGGGAAGGAGATGAAAGCTCCGGATTGGCCCAAAGTCATTGTGCCATTGACACCAGCGAGCCCACCCTCATTTGGTGGCCGGCACTGGCCATTTGTCCGGCAGCGAGCGGCTCTCGTACGTTGCTTCGCGCCTCCTCCTCGTCGATGCCGCATGCGCCGATCCTCGTCACGCAAAAGCCGCTGGTCTGACGAAAGAGCCAACGGGTCTGCGTGAGCCAACTGTCATCTGATCAGCAGTTGGTTGGTCGAGCATTCGCCAAAACATCGCTCACAGAGCTGCGCGCCTGTAGTTGGGGTTGCAAGCCCAGCATGGATGATAGCAGGCAGTTGAGGGTCCTCGGAATGCAGTCAGACGAGGGATGAAGCGCAGAACCTGTCATCCATATTGCTTGATGAGACGGTGAGACTTGTCCCATTCACTACAGCAGCCAGTAGAAGTTGAACACTTTCGTGATAATTCAAGAGGGCTTTGTTGGGTTTCAAGTTTCAACCATCATCGTCCACTTTACCAATGAATGGCTCTCTATATATATATATATACAAAAGGCTACTACTGGTCGATGAAGGGGCCATCTCATCCACTTTCAAGAGGGTACCCACCCTAGACCTGCCTTTTTTGGCGCACATGCGGAGAGATGCCTGATTTTCTCCAAGGTCTTGGCAGCAGATGGTTTCACCTACGAGCGGCAGGCGAGTTTTGGTCAGAATGCCTACTTATAGGCTGACCATCCCTTGAGCTCGAAATCCCGGATGGAGATTTCTGGTGACTTGTGCAACTCTTGAGCTGAACCTTTTTTTGCCGGTTTGTTGATGTGGAGTTTTTGGGTGACTCTGAGTGTGAAGAGCTTGTGAACACCCGACATCCCCGTGTGAACGACCACCCGCAGGCCATCGAGAAGTGGCTTTCCATGCACAACACGTCTCCCATGACTGGTGCGGTGCTGGCCCACCGGTGCGACGGGAAGCTGCCTGCGGCTGGGTGGGGCCAAGGTCCCAGGCCTAAAGAACAGAACAAGGAAGACAGAAAGAAAGGTAAACAAATCGAAAGGTCTAAGTCAAAAGAGGGAAGAAAGCAATATATATATATATTTATATATATATTATATTTATATATATTCAATACAACAGAAAAAGAGTCTAAGGGAGGCTCGCATGTCAACAAACCAAGCACCTGATCGCCAACTTCGAGCCTGGAACGCTGGAACCGTGGAAGCCTGAAACCTTTAAACTTTGGAACCATTTTAGAAGCAACTTTGACTGCAAGGCTTTTCGCTCGGAAGCCTGGTTTTTGGGCTTTGATTGCACTGTTTCGCCTTGTGACTCGGGCGCTAGACTCTGATCGCAACTTTTTTTGCATTCTGGATCGAATCCATCCTTTGCCTAGTACGAAAGGTATTTCTGCAAAGTGGGTGCATCCAGTTTGGGGGTGTGCCAGGTACTTGACCGAGAACTTTGCTTTGCGGCATCTCATTGAAGCATATGAGACGCAGCTGGCCGAAAAAAGGACCCTGTCCAGCCGTCGTGTTGGGTTTCATGGGAGTTGGAGAGAGCCTCTATAGGCCTGTGGTTGGTCTTTGTTTCTGTTTTTGTTTGGATCTTGGAGATGTTTGCAGATTTTTGGATCAAAGTTCTCCTAAAGTCTTTCAGCTGCTGCCCATCATGTGCAAGTCAGACAGCTACGTGCTCGATGAGAGCTTCAATCCGGAAGAGTTTGTCGCCGACATCAAAAAGGCCAAGGCCGCCGTCGGAGAGGCCACCGAGGAGGATGCTCAGCACCTTCACCGTTTGGTCCTGATCTCCCAGGTGCGGGTGAAACACCCAAACAGTGCATGAGCGACCCCTGTTGAGCGACCCCACGATTCTCTTTCCCTAGTTCCCACTAGTTGGCAAGAATCAGGTGGTTTTGACCAGCGCGTCGGAAATTCCGCACGTCTCTTCTAGATTTGAGTGGGCTTCTAGACTGGAACCGCACGGTCTGGAGGTCCTGCTCTATGGTGGCCACCTCTTTTTGCTGCTGGGTGCGGCCATGCCTTGGATGGCGGCATTGCTGCTCTGTGGGCTAGGCCGAGTTGCTGAGAAGTTGGAGTTAGTGCCACCCATGTTTGTTTGACACATCTTTTTGCCAAACTCCGACAATTGGCGTTCGTTTTGCCGGTGTGGAACTTCCCAGGTCTGACCAGGTTTGGCCGAACAAAGAAAACCCTCCTGCCCAATGGGCAGAACAAAGCATGCTATCGCCTTAGCATGGGACCCTGACAGCTAAGCCAGTTCATCCCCCTGTGGCCTTCCAACACCCCGTAGGTGCCTGCATGATTGCCTTCGCCCGGTGCATGAAATGGGCCATCATTGGACACCATATTTCCCACGGTGGCTACGACAGCTTGCAGAAGAACCATCCCAATGCCTTGCCGGCACACTACAAGCGGGGTGTCTTTGCCGTTGGCATCCGACGCTTCTTCGACTGGCTGGACTGGATGCTGCCTCAGGCTTGGGATGTGGAGCACAACAAGGCTCACCACTACTACCTCTCTGAGGAGAAAGATCCAGACTTGGTGGAGCACAACTTCGAGATGCTGCGCAAGTTCCCTTTGCCCAAGAGCATGAAGTATGTCTCCATGTTGCTCTGGGTCTTCACCTGGAAGCTCACCTATTACTCTCCCAACACCTACAAGGAGCTCATGCTCTCCAAGAAGGAGGGCTGGTTGGCACGGAACTGGCCCAGCTGGTCCAAGAAGACGGACCCTGTGGTGATCTTTGATGTTTTCAGGATGCCAGGTGAGGCTTTGATCAGAGGAAAGGTCATGGATGCCTTCTTCTGGTTGGTCTTTTTCGCGCAGTGGAGCACAGCAATTTTCCCAATGCTCATTTCCGTTCTGCTCCCTGCGGCATGGCCACTCTTGCTGGGCAGGGCTGGGCTTTGGTTTGGGGCCACTACGGCAGGGCAGGCCGCGATTCGAGCATTGATTACTTCCCTAGTGGCAGACATGCTGTCGAATGCACATGCCTTCGTGATCATTGCTTGCAACCACTCAGGTGGTGATCTCTACCGATACTCCACATCTTGCAAGGCCTACTCGGCAGAGTTTCTGCTTCGCTGCACCTATTCCTCAGCCAACTTCGAGTGCGGCAATGATCTCATTGACATCGTCTACGGATGGCTCAACTACCAAATTGAGCACCACATGTACCCTGACATGACGCCGCTGCAGTACAGGAAGTTCCAGCCACTTGTGAAAAGCATTTGCAAGAAGCATGGTGTGATGTACGTCCAGCAAAATGCATTGAAGCGCACCTGGATGATGTTCCAAGTGGCAGTTGGAGATGCGCAGATGAAGCGGTGCACTGCACTGGTGCCCCCAAAAGCCTATGGAAAGTCGGAGATCGAAACGTCCACCGTGGCAGGTGGATGAGTCCTCGAGAACTCGAGTACTGGAGTGATCGCGAGAGAACTCGCAGTTCTTCCACTGATGGCAGTTCTTTTAGGCGAACCCTGGAATCCAGGGTGGCTGGCAAATCTGCCAGCTGGCAGATCTGTCTCATCAGTGAATGTTCCAAGTATAGGGCATTCCGCAGCGCATCACTTATGATATGCGTAGAGTGGATTTGCCTCCTAGTATAGAATCTCAACGTTTTTGCAGGAAGGCGAATTCCACCCAAATTCGGCATCTGTGTTCCGCGCGTCCAGAGTGCCCAAAAAGGGACAAAGGCACGTCATGAGTACATATTACAGAGGGCGAACGCCTTCCAGTGGGCATCCGCTTGATGTTGTGCTTTGTGAACAGCAGACCGAACCGCTCCACTGCAGGACTTGCGAAGGTCGAAGAGGTGGAGTCTCAATGAAGACATGCCCCGGACCTCAGTGAGCACATTGTTTTTTTCTTGACCAGGGGGGCAAAATCACATGAAATCATCAAGAATGGAAAGAAATCCCTTGAACACTTCTCCATCATCGACTCATGTTGGGTGCCTGACCGCCTGGGTTTCTGGGCTTGGTTTTGATCTGCTTTCAGAGCTCCGAGGTGATCTAGCAGATCTGTCAGACGAGGTCTCCTGCTTAGCCGCTGGAGGTGTTTGAGATCTCTTTTCTTTGTGACGCCATGGGGCGCCATGTGACGCCATGGGGCGCCATGTGACGTGGTTTTCTTACGAACATCGGAGATTCTAAGGACGAGCAGAGTGACGAGGACGGGTTTTGATGGTCAAGACTGAAAAGAGACAGCCATGGCTTGAGGAGGGCATCTAAGATATTAGTTAAAGTATATATCATGTTAAATCTGGCTGGTTACAGTTCAGTCTCGAGTTCCAATTTCCATTTATCAATCAACTGCCATTTCTAGCAGGGCACTTGCCGCTTGCTCCCACTGGGGAACTCAAGCAATGTGTGGGATCCATTTGAGTGTTGAGGGAGTCTTGCCTCCCACAGGGAAGTCAGACTTGTCACGCAATGTGCAGCCGAGGAGGAGGATGAGGACGATGATGCTGAATTTGATGAAGATTGGGACGAAGGGCAAGCTAGAGACACAGCCATGTCCTGAGGTGTCCACAGATCTAAGGAATCTGAGGTGTCCTTCACAGATGAGATGCTTTAAGCCTTCACTCAATTCATTTGAACCTATTTTCACTTCATTCTTCATCCGATGGGCTTTACCAGGCCACATGAAAAAGAAGATAAGAAGACACTTGGACCCGCCCCTGGCGTGGTTTTCCGTCAGGTTCGTTCCCGGCCCATCCTGAGAGTGGAGGAGGAGCCGAAGCGTTTGGCGGATCATTCCAGTGCCCACAGTGTGGTGGGTTAAGATGTTTGGCTCTGAAATTGTAAGCCGAGTCATCACGATGAGACCAGCACCCAACGTACCATCTTCACTTTGCAACGTACACAACTGGTTGCGGCATCATGGCCAGTCGCTGACTCGTGCTCCTTGGACTATCAGTCTTGTTTGTCATTAACGTTAGGTGCATTCAAAGCCTCTTTGGCTTCAGATCTCTTAGAATGAATCGCAGGAAAGCAAGGCACGTATCAGTACTTACTAAGACGTTGAGCACCATGTACTTCATGAATCTCCATGGCTTGAATTGTTGACTTATCAATGGCCTCGAGCAGATTCTTCAAAGATGGAGTTCTCTGCATAGATCCTTCAATAAGTCTACCAATGATTGCAGTACCTGCCAATCACGACCATATTCTCTGACAGTGTGCACCTGTTGCGGGAATGACCGAAGACTATGAGCACCGTCGTTACAGATGTGTCCAGCGTGCTGTGCTACAAACACTCAGTGACCTACACGGTGGAAGGCTCGTGTCGGGATTGTAAACAGCTGAATCCTTGACCTTTTCAGGAGGTCCTGGTAAGGTAAGGGGATTCTGTTTTTAATGGTTTCAAGATTTCCTATCACAGTAGAGCTACAGGGTGCCTTGGCCATTGTGAAGTAGACTTCCAGCTTCGCTGCACATGGCTGTGCACCGCAGGTGTGCATGAAGAACGACACTGGCAAGCTGCGAATGGCTCTTTGCTCCTCGTGCGCGGCCGTATTTTTGGCAAAGATAGTGAGGCCGGGGGCATATGGGAGCATCTGACAGATATCAAGGTATTGATGTTGGAGTGCACGGGACCATTCTGCTATATTTCTGCCCGGGACAGAGGGACACATCCGCCTGTACTTCTCTTGAGACCGCCTTTCACTTGTTGAAAATACATCTGCGGATTTGATCGATGAAAAAGGATTCTGCTCATCGTGTAAGGCGTTCCTGTGATTCAAACGTCCCATTAATTCCATGACACCATCGAAGACAAACATGCAAAGCTGTTGGAGCATTTGGTTTGTGGAAGTGGTCTTCCAGGGTCTCTGTTTCTGTGGTGTGACTCTGCTTCTCTGGGCCTGGAAGAAGGCTTCTTCATTCCAAACACCTAACTTGAAAAGGAGAGGCATTGTGAGCAGGCTCATGGTATTTGTTCGGAGTTTCGTGGTCGTGCTGATCATCAGGAAAGTCCATGATATGATCAGCTGCCGATTCCACGCATCTTCCAGGATATTCAATCCACTGCTGCTAGGTTCTCTCCTGGGACACCGTGGCCTCGGAGCTGACTCAGCTGGCGGCTTTGCCAGATTTGGCAGATGTTTCAAGGCTGGATTTTTCAGACTGAAACAGACCTGCGCACTTAGAGACTTTAGAGCCCCTAAAGATATTCTGCGCGTCCTGTACACCGCATTGGAGGTACTTCTCCAGATTGCACGGATACTTTTGGGTAACCTATGTTTCTGCTGCAGACTCTTTGCTTTCACTTTTTGCCGTTTCTGATGCAGTGGGTATGACGCCCATGTGGCTGGGATGTGGCCGGGATGACGAAGGAGATTTCCTCTTGCTGTCTCCTTATTGGCCATTGGAGCAAGTACCTTTGGCTCGGCCCAACGTGCATTTGCAGCAATCCTCCCCAAGATTGCTGCACTGCTGGTCGGCCAAGGATGGCTTGGCCACATCCAAGCCTGATCCATTCTATGGGCTGCATGAGGCCTGTGACCTTGAGTCGCCCACCAATGCCACTGCTCGCTTGCAGGAAGCATTGCTTCAGGCAGTAAGACGCTGCACGGTGGGGGGAAGAGCATGTTGGTCTTCTTTTCAGTGGCGGCCTGGACTCGGGGCTTCTAGCTTGGATTCTGACCAGCTTCTCGTCGTGCAAGTGCTCCGGCTACACTGTTGGTTTTCACATGGAAGACAAGAATATCAAGAACAAGCAACTTGACCTTCAGAGTTTCAGTTTCTGCCTGACTTGAGTCCACCAGCCACGCTAGAGTTTCAGTTTTGAACCTTGTGAGCAGAAGAAAACGACCACATCCACACATGTGACCACTGCATAAGGTATGCATATCCGGAGGACCTTTCCATGGCAGAAGTGGCTGCTGCTGAGATGTCTTTGCCATGGAATGCCCATGTCTTGGACTTGAAAGAGGCAGCAAGCGTCTATCATGGCTGAAGCGTTGCCTCCCATGCATTTGCATTCAACAGTCTAGCAGTCTAGCAGAAGGGAGGTACCCACAGCAGGTGATCCAGCGTTGTTCTTTGTGTGGTGTCACCTTTGGCAAAGACAACACGACAAGTGCATGTTGTCTCAAAGACAGGGGACGATTGGAACGCCAGCAAGCAGCCGGAGTTCTGCTTCATGACAACTCATTCATTGGGTGGGGGCAACACCAGTCTCCTCTCCCCATGCTTTCGTTTCTTTTAAACATAGTTTAAATGCACGTTGTGATGTAGAGAGGCAGAGCAACTTCTTCTGCAATGTGCTCCAGTGGTGGCTGATTTGAATAGTGTCAAGGCTTCGGTGGCGATGACTCTTGGGCTCAGATTTGGAAGACTTTCTGCTTGCTTCCAAATCTGGAACAGCCCTTCTGAATCCACTTCTTTGTATGTTAACTCGCCAAAGAGCAGCATTCCAATACTTTTTTCCCCAATGCCTTTCAGCCCCTGTTCAGTGATGTCAGGACAATGCTGAGTGCATGCAAGATGGCTGCCAGAGACAACCTCTCCGTGGTTCTCAGTGGTTTGGGTTCTGAGGAGGCCTTTGCCGGATATCAGCGCCACGTGCGTGCCTGTGGTGCCGGCGATGTGGCCACGCGCAGGGACCGCACGCTGGGCTTGGCACAAATGTGGCACCGGGACTTGCAGAGGGATTGGGCTGTGGCCCGATTGGCCAAGGTGCAAAACATCAGTTCAACATGAGACACCAGTGAGGATGTGTACTATAAACACTATTCACTCTTCGGTGCAGACTTATATAATATATATATATAACTCTCTCTCTCTCTCTCTCTCTTCTTCATCGAAGCACAAACAGGTGCTTCAGAGTCCTGGAGGTTTTTAGAGTCCTGGAGGTTTTTTGCTCGCGTGGTTTCCGGCCGGACCGAACCCCGGTTCGCTGCAGGTGGAGATTCGCTATCCCTTCCTGGATGCCGACCTCTTGGCGATCGCCCTGAACCTGCCCTCGGGAGAGTTCCTCGGGCGGTCGAGACCGCGGGGACCCGCGGGCGCCGGTGCTGAGGCTGAGGCCTGTGCGGATGGTGGGAAGGGTGCGCTACGTGCAGTGGCTCGAAGCTTAGGAGCTCCTCAACGTGTTTCAGAGAGGAGGAAGAGAGCTGCTCAGTATGGCTCGAGGATCTACAACGCCTTGAAGATCTTATCCAACGAAGCTGGAAAGCAGCAAGAAGACTCACGATACCACCAGGCGAACTATGTGATGTCTGTACCCGGAGCGTCACACTCACCAATTGCGTTGCTTCACACCAGCGGATACCATAGCATCCAGGTGTATTGCCTGCTCAGGAGTTGGCGCTGTCAAATCGCCTGCATCATTCCCCCCAGTGACCAAGACTCAGACTACGCCGCCGCCAAGGCCTTTGCGGCTTCGCTCCAACTGCCGCTCTTGCGGTGTGCGGTCAGATGTTCTGAGGGCTACGAGATGGCAGGTTTGATGGCAGCACTGAGACTAGCCAAGGAGGACACGGGCACCACAAGGAGTTGAAGAATATTCAACATACAACATACACGATCATCATCCCAAAGCATACTATCACCCACAAGAAGCCCAATATGAGCTGTAAGTTTATTTCAATTACTTCTTATCGGGGACGTTTCATTGACATTGCCTTTTATCGGATTTCCTTTGAGCATTCTCTAGTCGGTTTGTGAGCGTCAGGAATTCCAGATTGAGGCGGCCGCATGTGGCCATGTCTGCGACTTGGACTTGTGGGGTTCCTTCGCAGCCGCCTGTGACGCCGTCAGCCTCCGAGCAATGGCACCTGAGTGGGGCTCCTGCCCATCCAATCAGTCCAGCATGCGTCGCATAGTGCACGACGGAACGGCACTTCAACTCACCAAGTTTCCATTGTCCAGCTGGCTTGGGCATACGATTTCGAGCCCGGAGGACCGGGGTTGCCAGTTTGCAAGATTAAGGAACACATTTGCAAACCATTGCTGTCTAACTCCAAATGTGTGATTCACAGAGTGTTGTTCATGTCCCTTCTGGATGAAGAAAGGAGGCAGATGCTGTTTTGGACGCTTTGCAGACGATTTGTGGCCCAGATGCCACTGACGACACCGATGCGGGCTACGTTGATTGTGACTTTGTCTCAAGCCCCTTTCTCCCGTGTGGAGTACGAGATGTTAGAGACAAGAGCGTAGCGCTTGTTTCTGCCCTACTGCAACAAAAAAGACTTTGCTTTCAGAGTCATGTCCATGGACTTTTTCAGGTGCTTGTTTAGTTGTAAAACCGACAAATGCACTTGACCTTTGGTGAAGAGGTACATTGAAAAAAGCAGACGGATTGCATACCTTCTACAGCTACAGCTACATGATCGTTTTTTGCATCGCAAGTGTTCTATTTGCGTGTGTGTGCAAGTCCTCTTGATGAACGTGAACCTGGCTCTTGGAGATCTCATCCCAGTCATCCCATCATCGCCTAGTGGTTGTAGAATGGAGAGACACCCCACCCCCCTTGGTAAAAATGGGAAAATGACACATGACTAAACGCCATTGGCTGAATCTCTCCCTGCAATACACACACCCAATATATAAGTGAGTCTCTGAGTGTTCGTCTCAGGCGTTTAGCCCGGTGATCGGTCGATCATGGCACCTCCAAAACCGCAGGACATGCCGATTCTGAGTCACCAGGATGACGGCTGAGCGTGCAGATCTTCCCGGAGCACGCGTTGACAGGGCGCCTCTTCAGACAAAAGGACAGCAGCTGTGGAGCGTCAAGCCGAGTGCTGCAGATTTGCCACGCATCTGTGGAGCGAACACAAAAAATCGAAGCTTAAGGTATTATTACTAGCCACTTGCAAGATTTGAAGCAAGATGGGGGATATTTTGGACAACTTGATTGATCATTGTTTCAGCCGCCCAGCGAGACGGCGAGCACACTGGAGCATATTCTTCAGTGTACAGTCTACAATGTCTATAACATCGTATATATTTACACGATCTGTTGCTTTTCCGGATTCCGTTCCAAACCTTGTGACCGCAATACATCATAGTACATCCATAGAAACTATGTGGTGGGCTTGCCCTCCAGCTGATGTGGGCGCTTGTTCCATTTTGACCATGGGCTCCAAAGTAGCAACGGAAGCTGATCTCGTATTGAATCGAGCTTGAGTTCCAAAACCCTTTGCAATGTCCTCCCAAAAATGTGGCAAGCATCAAAAAGGGTTCCTCAAAATGATCCAAGTAAACAGAAACTTTGTGTCCACTCGCTTTTCAGCGTTGATCCTCTAGATCTACAGTGTATCGATCGCTCCAGAGTGAACTCTCCAGGCTTGTCCCCAATCCAAAGCTGAGAGCTGGCTCAGGGAGTTTTGGACCACCCACCAGAGCGTGCTGGTGTCCCATCATGTGCAAGTCAGACAGCTACGTGCTCGATGAGAGCTTCAATCCGGAAGAGTTTGTCGCCGACATCAAAAAGGCCAAGGCCGCCGTCGGAGAGGCCACCGAGGAGGATGCTCAGCACCTTCACCGTTTGGTCCTGATCTCCCAGGCGGCCGGTGTCGACTGGTGTTCCTGTTGAGCTTCACTCATTGAATAGCTTGCACATTAGACATTTGCTGTATGGAACCCTGCATCATGACCGTAGCAGCCATGCAATTGAGTGGTTCATCCCAATCTCCTGACAGCGTGTAAACATTTTGGTGGTGAGGTAGTACTCTATGGTGGCCACATTTTCTTGCTGCTGGGAGCTGCCATGCCCTCGATGGCGGCCTTGCTGCTCTGTGGGCTAGGCGCGGAAGAATTCAGCGACCATTGAGTGAATCCTCGCTGGGTTAGCGTGCTTAACATTCACAGATCGTACGTAGAGTCCACTCAAGGCAATAATTTTGGCAATATCATTGGCTTGGAATATCTTGAGATTGTATACTACATGTTCCATGATGTTCTGCAACATCTTCTTGCAGTTGTCTCTTGTTCTCTTGTTTTCCAAGGATGCCAACTCCTTTATCACCTACATGTCCAAAACGTACTTAAGCATACTTCAACCTTCTCATATGTCTGCCTGACATTGCCACCGGTGCTCACCGACTTGGGAATTAAGCATGAATATCCCAAATCATCTTGGCAGAGAAGGCATGCTTTTTGTCTCGGGCCTTTTGTAACTTCCCATCGCATTCGACGATGGCGGCCACGGACCAACACAGGGCCTGAGGATCATGTGACACTTGGTGACACGTGTGGCCGGGGACGTGGAGGCGTTGTTCTATTTTTGGGCAAGACACATGTTGTTGGCATTCATTTTTTTTGGTGGGACAGGGTGGGAGGCATTTCCTTGGGGCCAAAAACGGTCTCCTCAGCAGCGGTCAGACGTATGTGGTCGAGCACATTAGATATTCCAAGTGCATGGCTCCGAGGACACATGTTATAAGCCATTGTTTTAGGCAGCAAAAGCATGCTTCCGTAGCATGGACAACTGGCAACTGCCAGTAGAGAAAATTCATCTCACCACTCACTTCCAGCACCCGCCCGTAGGTGCCTGCATGATTGCCTTCGCCCGGTGCATGAAATGGGCCATCATTGGACACCATGTTTCCCACGGTGGCTACGACAGCTTGCAGAAAAGCCATCCCAATGCCTTGCCGGCACACTACAAGCGGGGTGTCTTTGCCATTGGCGTCCGACGCTTCTTCGACTGGCTGGACTGGATGCTGCCTCAGGCTTGGGATGTGGAGCACAACAAGGCCCACCACTACTACCTCTCTGAGGAGAAAGATCCAGACTTGGTGGAGCACAACACAGCAATGTTGCGCACGCTCCCTTTGCCCAAGAGCATGAAGTATGCCTTTTTGCTGCTCTGGGTCTTCACCTGGAAGCTCACCTATTACTCCCCCAACACCTACAAGGAGCTTGTGCTCTCGGAGAAGAAGGGCTGGTTGGCACGGAACTGGCCCAGCTGGACCAAGAAGACTGACCCGGTGACGGTATTTGATGCCCTCAGGATGCCGTTGGAGTCTCTACTCAGCGGGAAGGTCATGGATGCCTTCTTCTGGTTGGTCTTCTTTGCGCAGTGGAGCACAGCAATATTCCCAATGCTCATTTCCGTTCTGCTCCCTGCAGCATGGCCACTCTTGCTGGGCAGGGCTGGGCTTTGGTTTGGGGCCACTACGGCAGGGCAGGCCGCGATTCGAGCATTGATTACTTCCCTAGTGGCAGACATGCTGTCGAATGCACATGCCTTCGTGATCATTGCTTGCAACCACTCAGGTGGTGATCTCTACCGATACTCCACATCTTGCAAGGCCTACTCGGCAGAGTTTCTGCTTCGCTGCACCTATTCCTCAGCCAACTTCGAGTGCGGCAATGATCTCATTGACATCGTCTACGGATGGCTCAACTACCAAATTGAGCACCACATGTACCCTGACATGACGCCGCTGCAGTACAGGAAGTTCCAGCCACTTGTGAAAAGCATTTGCAAGAAGCATGGTGTGATGTACGTCCAGCAAAATGCATTGAAGCGCACCTGGATGATGTTCCAAGTGGCAGTTGGAGATGCACAGATGAAGCGGTGCACCGCGCTGGTGCCCCCAAAAGCCTATGAAAAGTCCAAGATTGAAACGTCCGCTGAGGAGAGTGGATGAGAACTCTGGGCTACTTGGGCTCAGAACTTGCTTCAGAGACCGAAGATCGACGCAGCCACCTGCTCATACCTTGAATCTTGAGCTCTGGGTTGTTTGGGCTCAGGGCCGACAGGGCAAGCCTGTTCGGGGTCTTAGGCAAAGCTGCCAGAGATACGCCTCGCAGGAGAATGTTCCAAGGGGGGCATTCTGCGTATCACATTTCGCTTGTAGTAGCAATTGGATTGTGTTGTCCTCCTTGAGTCTCATGGCCTTTTCCTGTTAGGAAGACAGACGCTCCCTATAGCCCCAAGTTGCACCCTTAGGGCATCTGCGCATCCAGAGTACCAAAAAGTATGTTGAGCTACAGTCAAGACGGCAAGAGCCATCAGCGAAGTTGTACTGACTGTGATAGGTCCTATCTACAATGGTGACATTGTGCACATGACATTCTGATTCAACGATATTTAAAGGCAACATGGTGAGCAGCTGACCACTGGGGGCCTTTCTGCGTGTGGGCCAGTGCTGGCCAGTGCTTCGAGTGAGTCGAATCGCAACGGACGTTCTGGACGTTCTGGCTCAAAGGGATGTGGTCGCTTGTTGGTCCATTTTGACCATGGCTCCAGGACGGGATGGTGGTGAGTCGCGGGTTTGTTCGAGAAAGGTGACGGGATTGGGTCATTGAGTTATTGAATCATATGTGAAGCATGGTGAAGCAAGGAAGGAAAAAAGAAGGTAAGGGCCAAGGGCCTTATTATGAGGCCCTTACCTTCTTAGAATCCCCCTCCTTGCTTCATTCACCAATTCTGCTGCGGCTGACTGCGAAACGACCGAACCGCCTGCACCACGCCCCGAGAGACAGCGGGCTGAGGACAACTGGGCGTCCCAGATGACCCAGAGAGTCCCAATCGTGACAGCAGCAAAGCATCGTCCTCGGTCGGCCCGGCATCGCTTGGCTCCGGCGCCGGCTTCGCCGAAAAAGGGTCAGCCGTTGCCGGCTTCGTTGGGGTTTTGGCAGATGAATGCAGATGAATGCAGAATCACAAGAATGGCGGGGATTCGGAGTGGCCTCCTTTAGGATTAGGTTCAGCCAAAGCTGAAAATGGTAGAGTTCTGCAAATCGCTGGACTCAAATGAGGATTGGCTCTCCTTCTTCCTTTGTTCGCAAGCGGTGACAACCAGAAGCAAAGATGGTTTGGACTCAGCATGTTTCCAGGGTCAACAGGCGCCTCGTACCGGTACTGAGTGTTCCGGAAAGAGCGGCCCGGCCTGAGGAATTAGGATGTTAGAAGGGTGATCGAGGTCAAACATGTGTATAGCACCCAAAAGAAAGAAGAACAAGATTTTTTTTTCATTAAAGAAGAGCAATCAACTTTTGTGTTGTTCTTTGATCAGGGCTTGTCACATTCTCCAGCATGCCAGGGTCGTCCTCGATCCAAAGCTGCCAGCCGGCTCAATGAGTTTTTGGATCGGCAGAGCGAGCCGGGGGAGCCCAGTTCTGAATTTCTTTTAGTAGCTTCTTGCTACTAGTAGTGATGGCCTCCAACCTAGTAGGTTCTTGCTACTATGCTCGAGGTGATCATCCACTATGAGTAAGGATTCCCTCATGTTACCTCTACTCCTCCACTTACACAAGGGGGCTCACGAACTTGTGGCAGCGACGAATAGACAGCTTTCAACCATGTTTCTGCCTACCTTTGCTGAATATTTTTGCTTGAGCTGGCATTCTAGGACTTCAATGAGTGGCTAGTTGTGAGCAGTGAGCAAGCAAAAGAGCACCCGGGCGCGGCTTAAACTGTAGGTTCGCACTAAGCGTGAAGCGTTGCAAGGTTCGCAGTCTTCCACTCCCTTGTGCATGGGTGGGAAGCGTTGCAACTGTTGCAGTTTTCACAGCACGCCTCTCCTGGCGCCACTGCTGTCGTTGGTTGTGAGGCCAACGCCTCAATATTTGATCCGACGAGCCACTTCGAAGCTTCATCGTGAGTTGGTGGAGGATACAAGGTGCAACGGGGCTTCCAGGTGAACTCCGGCTTGGATCGGTGATGGATTCAGAGTAGACAGCTGGTTAAAAATGGACCCCCATCTAAAAGGCGCCTTGCGGCGCCATGTGCTCTGAAACCACTGTAAGTTTAGGATTCAAGAAACCAAACATACAACGCCTGCTCGAAGCCTTGGTGGACTATGGTTCTAAGATGTTCTAAGTCACTCCAGATCCCTGTCGTTCCATTGAATCTCGCAGCGGATCTGGATAGCTGCCCGAGATGCTGGCTTGTCTCCTTGATAAGGAAGACTAGCAGTTCATAGGAGTTCTTAAAGGGGTCCAGAAAGTGTTCCTCAAGGATCCTTGAGGTGGAGTTTGATTAACCTTCCACCTTGACTCTATATCACCTTCAACGCTATCAGCTATCACATGATGTTGTTTCGCAAAAGTATTGCCGGCATAAAAAGAAACCGATCAGGTAATCCAGAAAGAAGCACAGTGCTACGTTGTTCCCACAAGAACTTGAAGACAACGCCGTTCAGCCAGGGCCTCCGACGATGCTGGATTGCTTGGAAATCAGGGTCCCGAGGTGCAACTCGGAGAATCTCAGCTTTTGGATTCGTACCCAAACACCACCACAACCTTTAAGGGAATTGAGCTCACCAGCAGGACTACCACCGTTGAAGATCGTTTAAGTCCTTAAGGTTTTGTGTTTGATAATGTGTTGCCCAGAGTCTTTGCACACATAGCACGCCTGATGTCAATGCACGGGAGAGCTGCACCTGGCAGGGATTCCGCCTCTTGCTTTCTCGAAAGTTTGGCTCTGTAGCCGCGCTGCCCTGTTTACCGCAAAGAGTGGTTGATCTACAGAATGGTATCCAGTAACTTGGCCAAAAGGCTTCTGTGGACTTGTTGGACCTGGCAAGCTCTTATCACACCCCCGGTCGCCCTTTCCACGTCAGGCAGCGGCATGGCGTGTGTCTCTGGATCCGGATGGCAATGGACGGATCTCCTTCGGCCGTGGCCCTATCCAGCTGTTAAGTCCGGATGACGTGCCGATGTGCCATGGAAACCAATCGCTGTCAGGGTCTTCCTGCAGCAAGCCCACGATGTTTCTGATGTGCTCCTTGTCCGAGGTGAGTTCAATCATCGATGCCGACAGATGGGCTTCACCGGGAATCTGCGAAAGTGGGGGGTGCTCGGTGTACCGAGACGTTTCGCTCAGAGAGCTCAGCTGAGCTTCTGATTTCGTGGAACAGCGTTTATATATGGTTGTCGATCTAAAGGTCCTAGTCAGCAGTGTGTATGACGATGACCCGGAACATATCAAAATCTCATTTGGCGAAAGTTTTTTCTCGAGTTGGCGAAAGTAAATTTTTTTTGGCGAAAGATCTGGCGAAAGATTAAATATGTACTTTTGTATGAATGTTCATTTGCTTTCTGAACAGCTGGTGGCAGTGACTCAGAAGCTAGATAAGCTGTGGAAGTTAGATAACCTGCTGCTGCTGCGGCTGCTACTACTACTACTACTAGTACGACTACGACTACGACTACGACTACCACTACCACTACCACTACCACCACCACGACCACGACCACGACCACGACCACGACCACGACCACGACCAC